AGGAATGCCCAGCTGAGATGGGGAAACCTGAATACACAGCATATAACGTAATTATTATCACCAGCTAGGCTAAGATCCCCAGCCTGTCCAAAGTCATACAACTACAAGCATATTATAACATATTTCCAGTCTTGAAAAATATCTACCATTGCACTTAAAAAGACTTGTCTATGGGCAGGTACGTGGCTAGACAGGAGACAAAAATACTTTTTAACAGGCTTCAGGAGAAAATGGAACATGAGAGGAAGCAAAAAATATACTCAGCCTTTGGCAGGACTATTATTAATGGGCACTCCTTACTGTACTGTGGTAGGTGGCACAGTCAGGCATACATGAGTTCAGACTGGAAAGCAACATGGGGAGAAGAGGAATCAGAGATGGGGCAATTTGGAGGCTACATAGGGGCCAATCACACATTCTTGGCATCCTGGATGGTTTGGAACCTTGACATAACGCCAAGACTTGGCTGCCTGGTACTAAGAACTATCCTTCTCTGGTGGTGGGCATTTATACATACCCTATGCCAATTCCTCATGATAACCCTTTGGGATCGTTATCCAATTTTGCCAAGGGGAAGACTTCCTTTCAATACAGTTAGCTAGTCCATGGCTGGTAAATTAGCAGAGATGAGATGTAGCTAAGCTGATTGATTTAGCCCCTCCCTTTGCCCTTCTTACTTTTCACCTGTAACAGTGAGGATAATAACAATACCTAAGCACAAACCTTTGTAAGTATTAAATGAGGTCATGTACGTGAAAGTGCCAGGCACCCCACAGATGCTGCTTATATATTTGTCTGGCATAGTGGTTTTCACTGGTAGCAATTTTGCCCCCCAGGGGATTTGTGGTAATGGAGATATTTTTGATTGTCACAAGTAGGGGAGTGCTATCGGCATCTAGTGGCTAGAGGCCAGGGATGCTGCTAGACATCCTACTATGCACAGGGCAGTCCCCACAGCAAAGAATTAACCTGCCCAAAATGTCAATGGTGGTGATGTTGAATCCCTGCTAGTAGCATAATGCAGGGGACTGGAAACCGTACACACTAACAAAGCACGGCAGAAGCAAAGTAACAGACAGGTCTCGGTGACAGGACACTTACAGACCTGGATCTTGGACCCACTACTTGCTTTTGACAAGTTATTTTAACCTGTCTGAGCCTCGCTTTTCAAATGGGGATCATAACAGCATAAACTCGTTTCAATAAATTAAATAATTGCTGAATAATATTCTGCTAGCACAGTGGAATTAATCATTTGTCACCACCTTGCAATTTAATAGACACCAAGTTTCTAAACTTGCAAACGCTCGTTTCATAGTTAACAGGACTCTCTGCTGTATTTCTTGTGGTGCTTTCTTAAGACAGGTTTTATTCAGAAGAAAGTGACTTAGGGATAGCATTGAAAGCTGTCTACCATGGCTCAGTATCTTGTTTTCTTTTCCAAATTCTTTTCTGAAAAGATCGCAGTACTTTTGATTTGGGCAAACACAGATCTAGACTTTAAAATCTTTTGCATAACACTGGGTTTCAACTTTCTCACATGTGGATACTCTTACAATCTATCTTGGCTGCCTGAACAGAGGCAGCTCTCTCTCCTCTGCAACATAACCAGTAGGCAACATCTCGTATTGTCTGTGTGTTGGTCTCTCCGGACATTTTCACCGGCAAGGCTGCAGAACTGAAGGGCTCACTTTTTTCTTTCCAGTGGCTCACTTCCCACCCGGTCTTTCCTCCTCTGCCCTTCAATGATCCTGATATGCCATGAGTTCTCTCTGCCACTTCATGGCTGGTTAAAACATTTCTGATTTTTCCCCAATCTCCCTCTGATGAACGGATCAGACTCCAGGGCCCCTTCAGATTCCATTCATCAAAACTGCTATCCAGGGAAGAGTCTCCTTGGGAAACTTCACACCTTCACTATGCCCTTTAATGGAGAGAATGTGGGTATAAGGTGTGAGGAAGCACAGGGAGGCAGAAACCAACGGGGGCGGGGGGAAGGGCAGAGTGGAACAGAATGACAGAGGGTAGAGAGAGTGTACAGCTTGTAAGGGAAAGGGCAATCACCAGGCAAATAGATGGACCAACAAAGAGCATGGGACTTACAGTCCTAATGGCTTCCATGTGTAGAAAACATTTATATAGGTATATAAAGTATATATACCTGCAGAACCAATCAAGCACTGGCCTGGGGGTGGGGTGCTCAAGGCATGTTATGTATTTTCCCTCTGAGCTACCCAACAAGCTGTGAAGAAGTGAAAAGTGGAGGAAATATCGTCGTCCCCACCCTCTCAGATAAAGAAACTTAGATGCAAAGATGTTATAACTTGCCCAGTCTCTCCCTCCCAAAGTGGTTGAAGAATGGGAAAAGGAGAGAAATGGACCCCAGGTTTGCTAAATTTAAGCCTCCTACATCAGAAATTTGCAAGAAAAGCCCACAGGAAAAAAATAGAGCAATGAGAGGCCAGAGAAAGAAAAGTGAACAAGGGCACTGATAAGAGTGGGAAAGTTAAAGAGATGGAAGAAAGAAGGGAGCCTGAAGAAACCTAGGAGGAAAAGTGACAGAGACCCGGGACCAGCACAGGGGAGGTCGGCAGTGCCCACTGGCCTCACGTCCTCAATAACACTCTCACCTAACAAGGCAGAGACCACACAGGAAACCGTCCTCTAAGAAAACACCCAAATCAATAACAACATACCTCTGCTCCATTCTTTTCAATACAGACTTTAATTCATAACGCATTCTAAGGGGAGGGGAGGGGAGGGCCCAGGGCACTGTTTGGAGGGGGCAAGCACACTAAATACACTGACCTTTTGATGAAAAGTTGGAGAAGGGACAGGTGGCTACAGAAACCACCTCCTGCCCCTTCCGACATCCCCACCCCATTCCCCAAATCCCGTCTTGATTTCTTGGCTTGTCTGATCCGGTAAGAACCTTCCAACGGCTTTTTTTTTTTTAAACACGAGGCTGTGATTAAAACAACCCCCAACTTCTCTTCATCTCTTTTTCTTAAGTTTCTTTTATTAACTGAATTTTTTAAATCCCGTTTCAACTCCACGTGCATTTGCCCATCGTTCTCTAGGCTTGGGAGAGACCCAGAGGCGGCCGCCTCCACAGCAGTCTCCACTGGGGGAGAAGGGTACCGCGCAGTCAGTCCCGGTGCGCCCCCTCCTCCCCGGGCGCCCCTTCCCAAATCCCGTCCGGTCTCCAAAGGCTGGCGTACGCCGTGCGGCTGTAGCCCGCGCTGTAGTCGTAGGACACCTGCGGGGGCGGGGGCGGGGGCGGGGGCGGCGGGGGCAGAGTGCAGTCTGAGAAGAAGGGGGTGAAAGAGGCCAAAAGGCCGGGCCCGTCGTCCCCGCCCGGAGAGTCCGCGGCGGCTGGGTACAGGGGGCGCAAGGGCTCGTTCAAGGTCAAGCCACCGCGGGGGGCAGCCAGGGGTGACTTCTTGGTCGTGGAGCCGCCCGGGGCGCTCCAGGGCTCGGGGTACAGTAGGCTCCCCCCCATCGCGGGTGGCGGCTCAAAGAGGCCGGTCTCCAGCTCCGGAGGTCCCCTTAGGACGGCGGCTCCGGTGAGGAGCACATCGAGAGGCTCGGCGGCGAGCAAGACGCCCGCCTCGGAGCCGGCGCCGTAGTCGGGCCCCAGCAGCTCGAAGAACTCCGCGGCCTCGGCGCCCTTCTCCAGGTCGCCCAAGCTCACGCCGGGCCCCGACGGGCCGCACCCGCCGCCGCCCGCCCGTGACGGCTCGGTGAAGAAGGACGGGGGCAGGTTGCGGGCCCGCAGCGGGACCTTCCTGGCGCCGGGGACGGCCGGACCCCCTGCGGGGCCGGCCGCGTCCCCTCCCACGCCCCCAGCGCCCGCTCCCACGAGCCCGGCCGCGGGCGCCGCCTCCGCAACCCCTGCAGGATCTGCGGCCCCAGGGACGTGGCTCAGCGAGTCGAAGAGCGCGGCCAGGCTCTGGCTTTGCAGGCTGGCGGCCGCCGCGGCCTGCGACGCCTCCCGCCGGGGGCCCGCCTTGCCGTGGGCCTGGGCCGGGACCGTCTGGGCGCTGGCTGCGGCAAGCGGCCGCTTGGCGGGCGTGTCGGCGGCGCCCGGGGAGGGCGGGCCCGGGGGCGCGGCGCCCATGAGGCCGCTGCAGCGCTTGATCTGCTTCTGCAGGTACTTGCGGTGGTTCACCTTCCGCTTCGACTTGCCGGGCTTGTCCAACGCCAGCTTGATGTTGCTGGACGCCGAGTCGATGAAGCTGAGCAGGTCGCGGGTGGCCTCGCGCACGTCCCCGCCCTCGGCGCCCGCCAGCAGCGCGCCCGCCGGTGTCCCGGTCTCCTCGTCCTCGAAACAGCAACCCTTGTCCAGGGCTCCGAAGGCGCTTCCCAGCCCGTCAGGGGAGCCCCCGAAGCCGAAGGGGACGAAGGGGTGCGTGCTGAGGAGCGCCGCCTGGACTGCCATCGCCGCGGCTCCCGGGCGGCCCGCAGCGCCGCCCGTGCGCCCCCGGCCGCTTCCCGCCCGCCGCCCAGGCCCGGCTCCCGCCCTGGCGCTGTGCGCGCGGCACAGCTTCCTCGCTTGGGGCCGGGCTCGCTGCTCGGCCTCCCGGGGGAGCTCATTAGGTCTTGTAAGCGAGGGGCGGAGGGAGGGAGCGCGCGGCGACCGCCCCGGTGGCGAAGGGGAGGGGCTTACTTAGCTGGGCTAAGCCGGGGGTGGGGGTGAGGGGGTCGCTTTTCTAGTTTTCTGGGCTTTCTCAAGCTCATCGCCTTAACCCCTTAGTTTCCCTTCGCCCCGCGCGTTTCTCTTGGCTAGCTCCAACCTCAAGACGTGAGGATGGGATGGCGCGTCCTCAAACTCCAGCTCCGGTACAACCACGCCCTGGCGCTGGGCACTCTCCATGAGGCTGAGAAGGCAAGAGTCCAGACCCGTGGGTTTCAGTCCCAGCTCTGGTAACAATAGTAGCCATCAGCTACGGGGAGCTTGCTTATGCCAGGCACTGTCCATGCATTTCCTCATTTAACCTTTGAACAATAGTCCTATAAAGTACGTATCAGCATTATTTTCACCATCTAACAAATGAGGAAACTGAGCCTTAGAGAGTTTCAGTGAGTTGGCCAAAGTATATCCAGTCCAGGCTGACTCCAAAGCCATTCCTAAGCCCTTGACAAAACTTATGTTCTCTCTCGGCTTCCTCACCTATCAGATAGGAGAAGGAAACTAGTGTCTCTTCAAGCTCTAGCCCTGGTCCTAAGATTCTAACTCGAGTTCCTGCAGGACTCTCAGCTCTGATGCTCTTTCTTCTACCTGTTAATTGTTTATAGCAAACTGAGGCCAGCACTTGACCCATCTTTTATTAGCAGTAGACAGCAGGAGGCAAGGAAGTCACTCCCACTAAGCTAGCTGGTGCTTTAGAGAAACAGCCCTGTGTGTGTATAAAACTCTCAGCCTCTTAGGACAAAATATGGACTGGAACCTCTCCCCTAACTGTCATGCCATTTAAGTTGCCCTTCTGGAACTTCTGTTGCATTTCAAGAATCACCTTGAAGTTCATTTAGACCCACTTTCACCTCGGCAAGCTTCTTGGGATAGAGGAAATGAGTAATTTGGCAGAGCATGAAAGATGATTCAGAAAAGACGGGTTCTGGTCTTAGCCTCACCACTCAATAGCTCTGTGACAGGTTGAAATCCTTGCTCTGATGGGTACATAGCTTTGGGCAAACCAGCTGACCTCTCTCTGCCTTAGCTTACTCATGTTAAATGCAGGTAAGGTTGCCCACCTCACAGGGCACTTGTGATCTTTAAAGGAAACATCCTGTGGAAAATCCTTATCTATTGACTGTTCTATAGCCTGTGATGAGTATTTGCCCTTATTTCTCTAAAACACAAAAAGGTGACTATGCTTCCTTACATGAACATCTAATATGTGATGGAACACCTCTGTCAGAGGGTGTTCATGAGGATTAAGTGAGGTAACATGCATGAAGATGCTGTGTGTGTGATCTCTAAATAAATTATTATAGTTTAGGTGCAGAGTCTACCCGGGGCACCATCTCTTTCTTTCTTTCTTTTTTTTTTGGTGCCGTGTGCAGTGGAAGCCAGAGTCTTAACCACTGGACTGCCAGGGAAGTCCCTAGACCATCTGTTTCAAAACGCTTTTCTTTAAGCCTCATTTTTCAGGATGTAGCAAAACCATTTTTGAGCACCCTGAAGGTACAGCCTTACCAAAAGGAAAGGGCCAGATGAACACTTTTCATTTGGGAGAGGAAGTACTTTTCCCAAGCCAACATGCTGAAACAAACTTTTTTTTAACTCAAGTTGGCTCAATTATAATGTACCTTTCGTTTGAGTAACACACAAGATTTTGTCCTCCATGACTGGACTGTTTTTTTTTATTGTTGGTGACCCTGCACTCAGAAAATTGTGTGGGCTTGTCACTGAGTTATGTTTCTCCCCCCTCGGATGTGGATGTCAGCACTTCCCTTTCCCTTTCGGCAGGACCATTCCATTGACCTCTGCGTCTGGCAGCCAAGAGCACTAACTTTTTTTTTACCTTCTTTCAACTGAGCAGCTCTTACAAATCCCGAGATTGCAGAGGACAATATATTTAATTGACATCTTTAGTCTGAAAAATCTCTCATAATCCCCACAGAGTTAGCTAAGCCCTCACCTAATCATATTCAAAATTAATAGAATATGAAAATATTAATATGTAAAAGCCTGTTTCCAGACCATTGGAGTTCTGAGCATCAAAATTGATTTGGCATTAGATGAGGACAGGTTCAAATTCTGGCCTGCCACTTGCTAGGTGAGTGCCCTTGGACAAGTCAATCTGTCTTCCTAAAGCTCAGTTTCCTCATCTGAAAAATGGAAGTGGTCCTAACTGTTCTCAGAGTCTTTGTGAGAATTAGGTATCCTAAAAGGCAAATAGTACCCCTGAATCTTGCTTGTTTTATGTGCTCAATGGAGATCATCTCAGTTCCGCAGGGTTGTTGTGAGATGCTATATATAAAAGTTCCTGGCACAAAAAAGCAGCTCAACAAATGCCCATGTTTTTGATTCTTTAGGCTCCACCTACTTCTTACCAACATATCACCCTATAAAATCAGCATCATTTGTTCTTTCTCCCAACAAAGTGAGTGACTATTTCCAAATGAAAGAGAGCAGCTATATTTGCAGGTTATAGAAATAGAAAAAGGCAGTGTAATATCATAGAGAGAGTGCTAAAATTAGAACCAGAGATTGAGACTGGAGTCCAATATACCCTTTCATTATCCACCTGACTATAAAAATTCACTTAACCTCCCGTACCTCAATATTCCCATCTATAAAATGGGAATAATCATGTGAATCAATTTGATGAGGCTATTGTGAAAATCAGTGAGATAATGGAAATGGAAGTTCTTTGTCAACCATAAAGCTCTGTATACAAATATAAGATATTCACGGCTTAGAATTTCTATAGCCTGATCCACAAAATTGATCCTTATGCATAAAATATCCATCCAATCACTTATTCATTCAACAGAAAGATACTGACACCAACAATGTGCTCAGCACTGTGCTGGTACTGTCGATACAGAGATAAGAAGCCATGATTCCTACCCTTTCTGGTGGACAGACAGACATGCAAACAAGCCATTGTAATATAATGTGATACTTCTTAATAGAAGTAAATTAAAGGTACAATAATTGATGGGATAAAAGACCTTCAAGTTGACCAGAGAAGTTGGGGAAGACTGCATAAACAGGTACCATTTGAGCTAAGAATTAAATGATACATTTGAGTGTGCCAAGCAAACAAGTAGTATCTCTGGGAACAGCCGGGCAGGGACACGGTCATACAAAAGCAATGGTGTCTATGGAAAACTATAGATAAGAAGGCAACAAAGAGCAACTTCTGCTTGAAATAGCTCTATAACTGAGACCAAAATAAATCCTTAGTGCTTCCAATGTGCAGCTAAATGGCACATGTGGACCCCACCTCAAGGTCTCAGTTGCTTTTCCCCTTTCCTTTGGGAAAGAGCTCTATTTCGGATGGAATGAGCTTCAGCAAAGTAAGAGGCCAGCTCCTGCCAGCCCATCAGGCCCCTCCTCCTATACCCTGAGCAAGCGCGCTCACTTGAGTGGTTTTGACATCAATCCATTTCACTTCCTATGGGGCCAAGGGACCTGGCTCCAGCCTGCACTTGGGCCTCTCTGCAGAGCTCCAAACTAGAGCTCTTTTGCCCCACTGATACTTAATGCTGAGCAAGTGGGATTAGTCTCCTTGGGAACCAAGCCCCCCAGGGACTCAAGGGCTGAACTTGCCCCAAACCGTTTGGGAGAATTGAGGTTTCATATTGTTCTTTTACACTTGGATTTCAGGACATTACTTAGACAAAGGCCCACCTGAGAGCTGCCTCCTTTCTTGTGTGTAAATATAGCAGCAGGATCAAAAGCTGACTTACTTATTTTGTTTTCCTCTTTGTAACTTTAATCATATTCCCTGCAGGACAATCTTAGTGCTCAGGGCTGTCAGGAATGCACACTCATAAAGGGAGAAATAATTATGCATCTTTTTTTACTCTCTTTCTCTCTTCCCATACCAACTGCTTGTCATTCAGTATTTTTCAAACCTCAAATAAAACAAATTAATTCCTCAGTATCACCACACAATTTATAAAGTATCAATTTCATCAGAAAATAATGTTGCCTTTCAAATTGTATACTCCCTAAAATCTATCTCTTGTTTTCTTTCTCATCCTTTCCTCCATCCTTCTAGTCCATGTGACATTGACAATGGCTAGTCTGGAGGATCCAAGATGGCGTCATTCACATGACTGCACCTGTGCCTACACATGCTGGCCTATCCAGTAGCTGGTGTAAGAGTACTCAGACTTCTTACGTGGAGGCTCAGGAATCCCAGAGACAGTGTTACAATAGGCCCCATGTGGCATCTGTCAGGCTTCTTATGATCTAGCTCCAGAATTCCCAGAACATCATTTTTACTACATTCTATTGGTCAAACAAATCACTAAGGCCAGTTCAAGAGGAGAGAAATTAGAATCCAGCCCTTAATGGAAGAAATTGCAAATAATTTGTTTGGTGTGTCTCTTAAGTCTCTTTTCATCTATATCACCCCCCCCTTTTGTTTTCTTTGCAATTGGTTTACTGAAGAAATTGGCCATTACCTTGTCATTTTCTCCCACATTCTGGATTTGGTTGATTACATCCATCTCCCTGGTATCACTTAATATGTTTCTCTGGCCCCTGTGTTTCCTGAAAATGAGGAGTAGATATAGGGGCTTGGTCAGATTCATGGTTTTTTTTATGCTATAGTGCTCACACACACACACACACACACACACACACACACACACACACACAATAAACTATATGCTATAATATTTATAATGGTTTCAAAATAACAATGCCAATATTCTTACTAATAATATAATTACTACAAAGAATCTTATTTTTTCTCCTTTTTTCCATTATTTTGTCCTCAAAACATATCCCACTAGTGATGAACAGTCCAGTTACTATGTTTTAAATTCACTTTTAAAAATAGTGCAGTTATCTCTGTGTAGTTATACCACCAATTCAATACACAGGTTTATTTGTATTACTTTGCTTTATATA